GGATTGAAGATGAGATCGCGAATCGTATAGGAAAAGCTCGGGGCGCTTTTGCTAACCTTCGCTACTTATGGCGCCGGCGCGACATCACTCTTGCCCTGAATGGTAGAGAGTACAATACAGCGGTACGTTCGACCCTTTTGTACGGTTGTGAAGGCTTCCCCCTTAGATCAGCGGACATTAGGAGGCTAGTTACGTTCGACCACCGGTGCCTTCGTAATTTAGCTCACATCTGGTGGGAACACCGCGTGAGCAACGAGTGTATTCGACACCTTGTTTACGGCACAGGAAAAGGAAATGAACCGCTCAGCACCGTTATTTCACGCACCAGGCTCTGATGACTCGGCCACGTGTTACGCATGCCAGCCCACTGTCTCCCGCGACGTGCGTTGTTTACACGCCATGAGTGTGGATGAAAGAAGAGGGGTGGCCAAGCGATGATTTGGTCGAGGAGAATGAAGGCCCTCACTTCGAAGCTAGCCTTAGTTGGAGCGTCTTGACTCCCTGGTTGGGGTCCGAAAGAGGATGAACACGTTTGGCTGGATACATTTGTTGACATGGCAGGAGCCGATCTCAGTGACGTTCGTGCTGTGAGTTTCTTTGTCCCACCCCGTGCCTCTTAGTCTCCCCTCCAAGCACGATTTAGGCTTATATAATTTTGCATATGAAATTATTTTTTTCCTGCTGCATAGTAGCTGGTAGGTAGCATACCGGAACGATGCACATCCGTTACCGGTAGCTCAGCTGGCTTGCACCAGTCGCATATTTTTTTCCTTTTTTGTTCTATGTATTGCGGCACAATAGCTGAGGTGTTTCTCACCTTTAGCTAACGTGTATAATGATGATGATGATGTCCACAAATGCCGTTTGGGTTAAGCCTTCTAATTGCTAGAGGATTCCTACAGTCACGGAATAAGTCAACAAACCAGCAAAGGTATGTGATCCAAACAGTCCACGAGAATACAGTTGGAGAGATAAGGAGTGGCTCCTAGCAAGCTGCGGATATGCGCAGGGATGCGGCGAGCGTCGGCTATCTCTTGAACAACCTTTCAGCGATTGACTGGGCTATGTTGTACGGGCTGCAATTGCATGAGACGAAGATGTGTCTCTCAGTCGCCCTGACACCGCACATGCTAGCTGCGGAACGGCAATTGCGCCGGACCTGAAGGGATACATGCATAAGTCTCGAAACGCAGCGGAGCCGCGTTGATGCACGCGCTGCACGACCTGGTACAACGCGTGTGATTTGAAGAGGTGCCGGTTGTCTTGAAGGATGCTCTTCGCTACCAGTGTACAAGGGCAAAGGAAGCGAGCAATGTATCAAGAGTTATCGCTGAACTAACTTGCAGAGTTTTTTCGGAAAGTGACAAACGCATTCTGCTCAACCGCCTCATCACTTAGGTCATTGGATCGAAAGTGGATGAGCACTACAGATTCCAATCAGGCCGCAGCACCATAGATATGGTGTTCGCGGCCCGTCAGTTGCAGGAGAAATGCCGAGAGCTATTGTACTCGCTTTTTGTAGACTTTCTCAAGGTATTTGACACGGTGGACTGCAATGCACTTTGGCTAGTGTTAGGTAATTTTGATTGCCCCAGTTACTTTGTATGCTTAATAGAATGTCTGCGCAGCGGTATGTAAGCGGAGATTCAGCTGTGTGAACAAACCTCGGCAGGTTTTGATATTGTCTCTGGTGTGGAACAAGGTTGTGTTGTAGTCCCTATCCTATTTAACATTTACCTAAATTCAATGATACCATTTGCTATCGATAATGCTTGTAATTACGGTGTCCGTGTGGAGCATCGTATTGCCGGTCGCCTTTTGTGCATCCGCCGTTTCGGGATGTGAACCTTAGTGTGTGAGACAACCATCCTTATGCCGCTAGTCGCCGATGATTGCGCTTTTTACGCATAGCGCGGATTAGTTGCAGCGCATGACTTCTACACTTGTTTAGACAGCGATCAAATTCAGGTTCATCATCAAGGCAAGCAAGACTGCTTGTCTTTTTCAACCTGTGCCAGAAATGGAATCCATATGCTTGCCACAAATCCGCATCGGTGATGTCGTTCTGTAAACTGCCTTCCGGTTTTGCTACAATGGGAGTGTAATATCTATCGATCTGCAGATAACGAGTGAGCTGCGTGTGCGCGTGGCGAAGGAGGTTGCCGCATTTAGAAAATTGGAAAAACGGATGTGAAACAATCAAGAAGTGACCGTTGTGACGAAGCTGACGGTGTACCGGTCAATGGTGCTGACCATTCTATACGGCAGCGAAACGTGGATACTGTACCAGAAAGGTGTCCCTTTGAGCGGTTTCATTAGCAGTGTGTGTGTGTGTGTGTCGAATTTGACGCATCGGCTGATATGGTCGAGTTGTTAATACAGAGGTGATCCACTGCAGTGGCATGCATTAGAGTATATATTTATGGTGCGGCAGCTAAGTTGTGTGGGACATGTGCGCCGCACGGATTCGTTGAGGATACCGAGGCAGCTGCTGTACCGTGAAGTCAGTGCAGGCAAGCTGCACGTGCAAGGTGATTTTTCACGAGTTAATCTTGACTTTAAGTTTTGACACATGATGACGGTATATCGCAGCCAGTGGTGCGCTGATATCAAGGGTGTGGTTGCGCACGTGCATGGGAAATTATTGCATCATAGAGAAGAGGAATATAGGTTGTGGAGGTGACAGATGACAATGGAGCCTAGACAATCGAAGTTTAGTGCGAAGTTTAGTGGCGCTGTAGTACATGCCGTTGCGAGTACCTCAGCCATGCTGGTTTGATAAGCCATCAGCTTAGGCACATGGGGCCGATGTAGAGGGGAAACGAGTCAGGTGACTAGGTAATCATAACCAGCGCAGCGCTTGGTAAGTACCATACCTCCGATTCAATTCTGTTTACTAATCCAGGCCAATAATGCAGTCGATGGGGCAGGCGTGCTACATCATCATTGCAGTTGGTCTGTACTTGTGCCTGCGTGTTGAGTTACTTGCATTTCAGGTGTTGCCTGTTGATTGATATCCCCGGTGTGGCTGCGCTTGATGTGAATGTTGACGAAGTGTCTAACTTTCTAACACCTTCCACATCGATTACTGGCTCCAGGAGACTGATAATCATTGCTGGTGGGGGGGGGACGGTGTGCACGATCTTTTTGGCCGTGCTAGGTTTAAAGGGTCGTTCTATCCAGTGTGGAGCAGACTACGGCTCAGCCACCGCCTAGTGTACGTTCGGTACGCGTAATTTCCTACATAGATAGACAGGAATGCTGGTGCTGTGTATGTTGAAGGATTGTGGGCCGGCTCCGTCGATGAAATATGGCTCTCATCCACATGCCTTCCGGTCTTATTCCGTCGAGTTTACACTGGATATGTAGTGTGTAGATGGGGCTGTGAGTGGTGCAGCGCAAGCCACCCATGGTCCCTCTGTAGGCGCAGTCGTCATGTGACTTTCTTGTGAAAGCCGCCATGCACGCAAATCCAGACCCGAATACGATGACCGTTGGCAGCCAGGTGACTCATTCGCGTTCTTTGTGTTCAGTAGTACCCCGCGCGGATGCTGGTGGCCCGCAAGTTTGTTCATCCGCCCACCGTTAGGTACTCATCTTTAGTTACTGAAGTGATTGGTCAGTGGCCCTATAGCCGGTCATATGGGCTTTGATACAACGCCGTACCAGCTATCGTGGTAATTTCTGGGAAACCAAGTGACCAGCCCAGAACTCCCCACTTTTTGTGACGCTGCCGCTGATTGAGTGCGACTGCTTATTCATCTCGTCTAAAAAGCAAACGGGACTTATTCACATTTACCTCCACAAAGAAGACGCTCCCCATTCTGCAGCGTTGGCACTCACCCGATAGAGTACAGCTGTGCCTCAGGCGATAAGATAGTGGGACCATACGTGTCAATATAAGTGGCAACCTTACAGTGTCCGAGACGCAGTATAAGAGTCATCAGTCGTGGGCTGGTGCCATTCGTCTCTCCCATCAGTTAGCCTTTTAGGCGTCGGATAGTGCAAATCCTACGCCATGTTCACGTGGAGCTCTGGTGGCCTTTCGCGCCCGTTTGAACTTGTATTCAACACCACCTTCATGCATCTTGGCCCTACCAGCCAGCTGAATCTCGCTGATTGCAGCAGTATCGACCCCGTAGCGCGGGAGTTTCATCGCGACCAGTACAATGCTTCACTGGTCGCCCACTCCTGTGCCAGCCGATTGGGGTGCGCACGTTTCGACACCCAATGTTGGGTACTTATGGCGGAGGCATACGATTGCGTCGGCCAATCGCTCGTGTGATGATCTGGAATGGAGGAAGTAGTGGTTTAGGTGAAATGGGGACTGTGAGAGAATGTGCAGCGGAAGACGAAAGAGAGGAGGCGTTAGTTCGAGCATCTTTTCGCTTATCTTCCTCGCTGTATTGAGGCAGATAAGGCGACCCTTCCCGCTCACCCACCACTGCGCGATAGCCGATGCAGTATAACTTATCAGTATTAATGTATTCTATGGCTTAGTTTTGGACTGGTGTACTGCCGAGACCACACCTGAAAGCCAGGGACTTCAATAAAATGTGCTCCGGAAAGACAGCGGGTCGTGCGTCATGAGTTAGTAAACTGACTCAAACGAAATTGTGTGTGTCCTGGCTTTTAGCTAGAAAAGTATAATGCGAATCACATTAAGCGGTCGCAACGATGAGGCGTCCAGGACATGAGCCCATTGCACAACATTAGTAGCAGTGAGTCTACGCTGCGTCAGCATCTCGCCACTACGGCTTTTCTCCATTTACTTAGTTTGCCCATGATTCGTCTCTTTTGGTGGACGGCTATTTTTCCCTACCTTATCCATCATATTATGGTCAATATACAAAGCCAGTCTCGGTGGGACGGTGGAAGTCTTATAAGTCACTTTCCTCTAGCATAACTGAGCACGTGCAGTGTCGAAATCATTATTTCTTTCGCACTTATTACTTTAAGCTGTTGGTCATTTAACCCTTACATCTTGTTCTCCCCCACAGAGTTAACAGATTTCCTGGATTGTATTTCTACAACCAGCCTTTGTGTGAGTTCAGTGTTTTTTTTTATCCAATCTGGAAACGCTTTGCAGTCGTCAAGACTATTACATCTGTAAACCCTTTCGCATTTTTGCCATACAAGGGGAGTGCATAGTTTATGTTTTCCACACCATCTACTTCCAATGCAAGCATAGGAGCTTTAACTGCTTTAATGTGTAGTAAGCGAAACTTCCGGGTTTAAGGGAAACGGCAACTCAATGTGGTCAGCTTCTCCAGGACCACTGGGGCACCAAATTAACCGGCTGTGGATCCAATTTGCTTGTTACCTTCCTGAACGCATATTCGTTATTTATGATATCCACATGATACGTTTGTGTTCATACCTTACTCGCACCACCATAGCCGATGCAGTCACTATCATAACGCTCGATTTTTTGGTGACTAACGACAAAAAGAAAATACTATGCAAGTGTTACAATCCGTAGTACAGGCTGGCGAGCAAGGTGCGGTTGTCCCGTTGCTTAGCAATACAAGAAACTGGCCCATTTCCTACCAACTTCTCTCGCGTTACGTAAGCATTCTAATCGCCTTCCGGAACCTCATAGTGCACTTCATTTTCGTACCAATGTTCCCTTCATTTGCTGAATTGGTTGGTCTTTTCTTTTCACTACTGGTGATTTCTAATGAGTCAATGTTCTTTGTCTACCCGGCTTTCCTTTTTTGACTGTTTCTCTTAATGAATTGGACTTTATGTATTGCAAAGTTGAAGATAACCACTACCACTGTTTTGCGTCTATGTTTAGAATTGCTTATAAAGTTCACAGCGCTTTACAAAAGCATGAAACAAGGGTCAAATGTTATTGTCGATATTAATGCCGAGCATCAGTAATCTCCTCGTTAGCCATGATTATTGAGCGTATCAAGTCACATCTTCCGACACGACTGTCCAGCATATCTGAGGGCCCCGATCACAAACGAGGAACAACACACATGCTTGTCTTCGGCCATCACTTTTCGCTCTCCTGCCTAGCACTTCCCATTGCTCTCAAGCCGTCTTCCACCAACATCGCTTGCAAATCATTATAGACATTCACTTGATTTTGCCTATCGTTGTGCGCTGCGATGCTGCAATTGAATGCGTAGGTGCAAACAACGCGATGAGAAAGGATCACACGAAAGCATTTTGCACTCATCGAGTGGGAAGTCTGCTGCGAGATACACTGTACCATTTCTCGATTGATTTCAGCCGTAACACAATCGGTTTAATCTTTTACTTATCAGCTTTTGTCCTTAATGCAGAGAATCTAATCAAATACCCATCGAAATTTAATCCAGATCGCACTGAGGGGTCGGCCGTGGACGTCGCATGAGAGACCTTACATACGCGTACGTACGTGTGGAATGTGTGAGCGGTGCAAAAAGTTCGGGGTCATTACGTCCAATGGCCTGCGCGGGACAACGTACTAGCCAAACGGCGAACATCACACGCGCTTGGCATGCGGGGGCATAAGTTTAGTTCCGAAACGTTAAGACGATTTCACTCGTCTGACTTATAAGTGGTAACGTTCATACGGTTGCGATGGTCCGTTTCTGATCAGCGCAGTTGTCACTTCTGCTTTCTCCTAGTTTGGTTGCACGGGAACCGCACGTAGCGGTCAAGGCGAAAAGAAAATCTTCCTCATACTTCATCTACCAAGTTTGTCTTTAATTTGATTTATATGGTTTTTTAACCTTTAGATCACATTACGCACGATGGGAAGAAGAGGAACATACGCCCGTCATCCGTCCGATGTAAAGGCTCTTATCCTGACGACATGAAGAGGGCAACGACTGGAAGGGCATTGTATCTCTGTTACAGGTCAATGTGAAGACATGTAGAAGCTGGATTAGAACATTATAGTTGAATGAGCCGATAAGAGGCCGTAGCGTGTCGCGTCGAAAGTGTCTGTCAGACAGTCACGTGGATTGCTTGATGAAATGGGTGGAATCGAACCCTACGCTTACCTTACAAACTCCTCGGTTGCGACTGAAGGTGTAGTTCGTGGTGGACGTGAGCGTCGGCACAATCGCTCGCTACCTAGATGGTCGCCTCATGACAAGAAATTTAGTGCAATACCGGAATCCATGAATACGATGGATAGCAAAAGTCTAAGGAAGTCGTACGTGTTAAAGTTGATGAACTTGGAGGCAGAAGGACGGAGAGCAGTATGGATAGATTAGACGAACTTTAATCTGTTCTGCTCTCACACATAAGGACGTTCAGCACGCGGCACCCATGCGCACTGTACGGTGCCGAAGACTCGGAAACAAAATCTGCACCTGATCAGCGCGATGAATGAGGATGGATTGCTCGGATAATCTGTTCTAAGAGGCAGTTATAATAAAGAAAGATTTGCGCAGTGGTTGCGGTTACTACTTGGTACCAATGGCATCCATTTCACCGAAAGCTGTCTTCTTATTTGTGATAACGCACCCTGTCACAACGATCTGGAGCGTATCTTCCAAGTGGAGCCTTACAGCTCAGGAAGACTTCTACGACTGGCAACGTACTCTCCCCAACGGAACCCGCTCGAGGGCATTTGGAGTATCATTAATGTCTACGTTAAACAAACCATGAGGCGGCGATATTCCGAGATGCTCCGAGGGGATCCGGATGACGTACCGAGCAAGGCTGTATGGAGGATGCAGTTTTTGGAGTAGGTTGTTGTAGAAGCACATGCCTGCGTGACGCCTCACCACTGTCGACAAATGGTGCAACGTGTACGAAATAACTATACACGTGTTTTGCACCTACTAGATCTGTAACCCGTTCAACACCGCTGATATATTTCTTGTTAACCTACCGCCCCGAGTGGGGTACACCGTGGCTTTCAGTTGGAATTGCCTCTGGCTCTGCGAAAGTTCACTCGGGGATAGCATTACTTACTGTAAACTGTAGGTTGTCGCTGCAGTGCTAAATCATGTGTTGTTAACCGGTCGTTATGTGGTAATTTGAGAGCTACCGGTAGTACGACGACATGTCACACGCCGTTCTAGTTAACTTAGGCAAAATTGTGCACCTTCCTCGGCGCATACTGTTTACAATAAGCGTCGGTGATTTGCTGTATGATTTGTGCATACGACCCGGTTGAGAGTCCCTCCATCAAGGTGGGTTACGGTCAAGCTTCATCTCACGCTGGCCAGCACTCCGCCTAGAGTAATGTGGCCACTAGCCTCACCAACGTAGGGCAAGACTAGCGACAAACTCGGTCTGTTTATACAACCTGAGTTTCAGCCGCCTGATTTCCGAAGCCTCAGTGAACTGAAGCAGGCGGGTGACTCTCTGTTGGTTTATTATGCTAAATGATTCACGAGGGTTTTCACACACGGGACAGTCAAGCATGTGTCGGGAGATCGAACTGGCAGGCAACATTTGATCATTCGCGATCAGGTTTCGAGGAATATGCTCTGAAATTCTTATGGACAGTGTTCGTTCAGTTCGGCTAACGTACTCGCTACCGCAAGTACAGTGAAACACGTAGATGATTGAGGCGGTAACTCGAGATTCTGGCTTGTCCAGGTTGGATTTAAACAGCATCTTGCTGCTTTAATGCCATAGCAAAAGCCCAGAGGCGTAATAACTTTTTCATAGATTGATGGTGACGGTATCGGAATCTCCCGTCAGTTTAGTCGCCTTTGAATGGTAGCGTTATGAACACGTTTTTCTTATGGACCTCGGGCACCCGTTCGTTCTTAGTACTCGCGTTCGTCTTTGAGTGTTGTACTTTGAACTTCTCTGGATATCCGTTTTCTTGTAATGTCAAGTAAACTCGTTGCAGCTACAGAACTTCCGCCCTCCCCCCCCCTAGAGCTTGAGTAAAGCAAATGAACGCTCGATATTTGGTATTTGACGTGAGTAGCTAGGAAGAATAACTGCACGTCCAAAACTTGTACGCTTTTGTGTGTCTGAGTTTGTGACAAGTGCTGGTTGGGGAGGACAGGGAGCACTGGAGCCGCAGATCGGTTGGGTGGGTGGAGTTTGTTCAGTGTTAGTGTCGGGAGTCTGTTGTTGCGGTGACTGGAATTCGACGTTGGCTGGTTTCAGTCGAGCCAGATTGACAGAGTCTTTGGGACCATTTCTGTCCAATACGAAATACGTCTGTTTGCGAGCGATAACTTTGAAATGGTCTTTACATGTTGGTGCCAAATACTTGTAAACGGAATCGATGCTTACGAAAACATAGAGGCACGCGTGCAAGTGGAAGTGAACATGGTGCTTTCAAGAAGTGAATCGCGGTGGCGTTGGACGATTGGCGCTGAAGTATTGTTCCAGTCGTGCAACACATGACGTATGATCGACTTCGCCGGTGACCCTGGAATCTGGTACTAGTTTTCCAGGAATTCTCAATGTCGTACCAATGATTCTGTGGGTCAACAACCGACTTCTTCCTTCAAAGTGTTGTGGATACCGAAAAGAATGCCCAGTTAACGCTCCGACCACTGTATAATCTGTTGCGTCGCAGTGAGTGCGGCTTTGATTTGGCGGTGACAATGCTCGACTAGACCGTTAGCAGCCGGATGATATGCTGTCATGCTTAAATGAGAACAGTCAAGCATGCTGTTAAGCTCGCGAAACGGTGCAGAATTAAATTGGGATCCTCTATCCGTGGTGATAGTGGCGGGGTGCCAAAAACGGATATCCAGGTTTTGATGAATGTTCGGGATGCCGTCTCGGCTGAGACTTCTCGCAGCGGTACGGCGTGTGGCCAACGTGTGAAGCGATCGACAAATGTCAGCACGTAAATAAAACCGTTGGGTGGTGGTAGAGGTCCAACGATGTCGATATGGACATGCTTGAATCGAGCGTCGAGCAGAGAAAAGTTCCAGGAATAGTAATCGTATGGCGACGTATGTTGCTAATATGGCAGGTAATACAATGCTGTATATCAGAGCGCATACTGGGCCAGATGTGACGATCCGTAATTCGCACGATGGTAGCACGGCTGCTCGGATTGGAGGTTCCGTACAAGTGGTCAAACACAGCTCGTCGATACTGTTGCGGAACGAA